GGAATTTACAAAGAGATTAATACCAGATATAACTATGATATAACATATAATATGACAAAACGAACAGAAATGCTACTGGCATTTATAAAGATTGCCTCTGGCTGGGATTCATTCATTCAATAATTATATGAAGAGCTACAGATGCTGAGCACTGATCTGAGAATACACAAGTGAGCAAACCAAAAACCTCCGTACTTTGAAGCTTGTATTCTAATGTAGAACTGGGAAGCACTCTTTTACTCAGCTATCAGCATTACTGAGTGCCAACTCTATGCCAGGCAGGCACTCAGTACTTAAGGAAAAGTTAAGATGAATGACATTGATCTCATGGAGAAAGTCACATTTGAATTAAATTTTAAGGTCAAGTAGAAAGTGGGGAGGACATTCTAGGGCTGAGTGGAAATATCTCGAAGGGGCAGAACAAGAACGAGGCAGAGTTTTCTGGAAAAGAAATAGTAGAATATGGAAATATGCCAGAATTATATCAAATTAAGTATCAAAACATATGCCTTTTTGTAAATTTGTTTGCTTGTGTGGTGATGAAGCATGACAGGAAAGCAGTGATTTAGTAAAATCTGAGTATGGAGTGGACTAAAGTGAGAATATGCCAATGTGAAGACTAGTTTGAAGACTATTGGGATAGCCCTGTTAATATATAATAAGGGCCTGTATAAAGGAAATGACCTTATAAGATAAAATAAAATAATATATATGAAATATAATTATAAATATATATAAGTCAAAATTGCCTGATAATTTAGTTAATCAATTATCATTGAATGTGCCATCTCCTTGGACAAAGAAAGAAAAAGAGAGGGAGATTCCTACAACATTTCTCTAATATTTTGTTTAAATTTATTAATTTTACAGGAGAGCTAAGCTTATTTGTACGTGATTCTAGATTAAGAAATAAAACTACAAATAATTCTAACACTCTATGGGAATATTCCTTTAGTTAGTTTGCATAATAATTTTCCACTGGTGGGAAAAGAAATCAATCTTAAAAAACTAAGGATGCTGCAATGGGAAAACTATAACTTTTTTCCTCTTTTTATGTTTTTCCGGAATCTCATTACATGGTAAAAGCTGGCACTATGTCTATTACACTAAAGTGTCTTGCATTGCAAATGAGTCAATTAAGCCAGGACCTGTGGGTTTTTTACGTCATTTGTCATGAAACTTCTCTAGTGTATGTTTGTGTGTGTGTGTGTGTGTGTGTGTGTATAATGCATGTCTTGTTTCACAGCAAATCACAGAAGGAATAAATAATAATATATGTGTCATTTCACAGCAAATCACAGAAGGAACCTGAATGGGAGCCCAAGCTTCTAGCACATGAGGCAGTGGCAGAGGAAAGGTGAAAGCTCATGATGACACCACCCAGAGGACAGCCATTTCAGAGTCCCCACCTCAGCTTCAATCAGAAAAATCACAAGATTTAGTTGCACTTATGTCTCATTATCTATATGCTGCAGGTTGAGAATAATTGTTGAATAAATTAGCATCAGATCAGAGAGCATGAAATTAAGGACACAAAGTGAGTTGCAACATGGTAAAAACAAGTTGAAGTCTTACTAAGTTGAACAACAAGAGCTACATTTATAAAGGGGAAATATAGTTAAAATTCACATAGAAGAAAAAATAAAAATAAAGACATATTTTAAGTATTTACATTTTGCATTCTTTATATGAGTAGCCTCGAGATGGGCAGCAACATCAAACAGAATATTTGATTAAGAGACTGGAAATTTAAACATGTTTTCCCAACTGCAGTACCATTTTTCAGGCTAGAATTTAGTTTAAAAATGATCTAGATATGATCATTTGTTGATACTGACACAAACTTCTAAAAATAAAGTTTCAAACACATACCAAACATACGAGAGATATAGTTGTGTTAGTATAAGAAGTTGTCTTACTTTATCTCAGTCATTATGCATTTACAATGAAACAAGCTCCGTAATAAACCAAGGGTCTAAAATGTAGGTGAATATTAGTTCTAATAATTTGGGGGTCTTGTCCACTATCTGATGCACTCATTTAAACAGATTAAAGTAAATACTTACTCACTAACACCAGTATCTAAAATTTTGTTTACACACACACACACACACATACACAGACACATGTGCACTTGAAAGCACAAATTCATACAATACATACATACATACATATATATATATATATACACACACACACACACACACACACACACACACACACACACACACACATATATATATATATATATATATTTAATTTGCCTGACAATCTTTTAAGGTAGATATTATTTCCCATTTGTAATATGAGATTGAGGCTCAAAGTGTTTAAGTATGGTGCCCATGGATTGGTATAGGTTTAGATATGCTAGGTCTACACAGGTATTTAGGACATGGTGTGTTTTTAAGGAGCACACATACATTTTTTAGCTATGAAGCTGAAAATAAATGCAAAAGAGACAAAATTAAGTGGAAGATTTGAATGAGATTTTTAGACCAAATGAATTAACATTATTGACTATTGCAAAAATTCTTACATAGGCACCGTGATCAAAAGAAGAGATTACTTCAGGGTAAAATGATGAGAGATTGTTCCAAGGAGCTGAAGGAATTTGAATAGGGTTTTGAAGGAATTGAAAAGGTAATGAACGTGGGGGTGTAAGTTTCAGAGAAAGAGTCAATGGAGGCAGGGCATACTATGAGGGATGATAAAATGGACTGAGAATAAAATGGATATGGAGGAGTTCAGAGCATAGGAAGAGAGATAAAAAGAAAAGTAATAACTATATATTTATTAAGTATTGTGCCATGCCCATTCTAAATTTTAACTGTATTAATTCATGTCATTTTCACAATAATGCTATGAGGTATTCTGACCCTATACCATGGATGTGGAAACTAAGTTTCAACTAAGTTTAACTAAGTTGTGTAAAGCCACACAGTACTTTATTAGCAGAATCAAAATTCAAATCAGGTGACTAGATCAATAGCTGCTGTTCCTGACCAGTATGCAATACAGTCCCCCATGATAGTAATAGTGATCTGACACTGTTATAAACATTACATATTAACTCATTACAGAAGGCAGACTGGCAGCTTACAGAGCTTTATATTTACCCTGGGTAATGAGAAATCACAGTGAGAATTTATTCCTAGGGGGTTAAAATTGTCAGCCATGTGAAGGATGAGATAAATACATGAAATTTATCAGACATTTGCTATTGTTACTAGTACTATCATTAAAAACTATGTTTTATATTAGATAATACCATTCCTGCATAGGAAATCATTACTGAATCTTTGTTGTTATGATTCATGTTCCTACAGTATCTATGTAGCCCTACATGCTGTCACTGGTGTCCTTTCAAAGTCCTTATCCTCAGATAGAATATAGGCATTCAAATTCTGATTTTATTTTATTGTACCTGTGGCCATATTCTTCCTATCACATTTGTTTCAAATATTCCCACACATTCATCACAATATATAATTGTTGTAAAACATTTCTATGTTTTTATTCCTTTCAAAAAATGGTTTTTCTTTACCATTTGCCTGCCTCTCTGTTGTCCCTGATTTTCACTTTCCTTTAGCAACTTGTTTTTTTCTGATGAGACCTCAGAATGCATTTTTGCTTTAGCAATGCCCTCTCTGGGTAGCCATCAAAAGACAAATAACATACGAGGATGTACTCAACTAGAGGAAGAAACACATCTAAGTTCTGTAGAAACCCACATGTCTGCAGGTTATTTTACTCCTTCCCTACTTTCCTCTATGAAAATCCTTACTGTGTATCTCTTTGAGATATGGAGAAAAACAATCTCTTAGAAATAAGAGCTGATTCAAAATTTCAGTTATCCACATGATATATTTTGTTGTGGTTTTTTTCTAGGACTTGTGAAGGGTTTCTGCACTCTCATCTGTGACCTATTGTGAATGAATCATAAGTTGGGAATTAAGTTGCTATACACTATGTAAGTATTTTTGTTTTGTTTCTTTTGTCCCTCTTTATTGTGAAAAAGTTTTGTTGTTCTTGCTAATTTGTTTTGTTTTCCATATGTAAAAGCTAATTGGCATAAATAGATATCCAGTCGATTGAAATTACTTAGTAGGTTAAGAGCATTTACTGAAGATACATTGCTTGTACACACATTTAGCATATATAATTTAAAAATTGATTAATAGAAACTGGAAGATGAACAAATGCTTTAATGAAAGTCTAGAGAATGATCCCTGCCAAAGTTTTTAGACAGTTTTAGTAAGTGGTATGCAGGATGTAAGGGATAAAGAAGGAACCAGAACATGTAGGAATGGTAAAGAAAAAAATGGGCTAAAAGAAAATAAAGACCTCAGTTATGTGCCACATAAATAGTTTCTTGAGTGACTAAAAAATGATTTGAAATCCTTTTTATTGGGAGGCTCACCACACAAGACACACAGAAATCTAAAAGAGATGTGATATTCTGAGTAAAAACTAGATTTGTTTTAACAACAACAAAAAATAAGTCTCACTGGTTTTCCAGTCTTCTGAGGCTGTTGCTTTCCCTAGAACTGTTAAGACATCTTAATGGGAAAAAATAATGATTAAAAGAAATGTATATGGCTATAAAGAATGGCTTAAAAGGTGACAGGGCACCTGTGTGTGTACTAATCCTATTAAATGTTAAATTTCAATGTCTCAGTCAAAACTTTGAAATCGATATTTCATAAGGATAAAAAGTAAAAGAACCAGTAGGAGAAAAAATCTGGATACATTTTCTCTGGCTCTGAATTCATAGTAAATAGGTTAATAAATATATTTTGAAAAAATAAATAAATAAAAATTCAGGTACATTGAAAATCAGCTTTGACAAAAATCTACCAAAATACAGAACAAAAATTATTAAACAGAGTATTTAATGCATTACTACTGTGGTTAGTTTCTCTCTAATCTAGAATTAATGCTAATCTAGAGAGATGTTCATGACATGCTTACAACACAGGCATAATTTGCCATGTACTTACTTTTGGTCACAACACCTTCTAAATGGATGATGTTAGGATGATCAAACTGCCCCATGATACTTGCTTCACCTAGGAAGTCTCTGCGTTGCTTTTCAGTATAGCCTACTTTAAGGGTTTTGATAGCCACAGGCAATTCTCTTTTTCCTGGCAGTTTCAAACGTCCACTACAAACTTCACCAAATTCACCTTGTGATAAAGATGGAAAAAAGGCACAAACTCATTTGGAAAAATGCACAAATTTATAGAGAAATTCTGACTCTAATAATACTCTAACACACTCTTAGAATATTAAGACAGACAAAAAAAGTCAAAATGGGAAGTCCAAATTTGATTATAAATTTTAACAGAAATAAATAATATGTTGGTAAAATCATCTACAGTTAATCATGAAACATTTTAGGGGTTATTAGCTTCACCCATCTCACTTACAAAACTCTTAATGGAAATATCAGAAAGAAATTAAAAGCAAGTGACTAAAAATCACTTTCTTCCTTCTCTTTCTACTCCAATAGTACTATTAATGAGAAAAGAAGAAAAGGTTATAGCTGGGCAAAAAGGAACAATTTTAGGGCAGAGATGAATTGAATTATGTAAATACTTTTGGGGACTAAAAATTTATTACATATATGCACACACACACATATATATATATATAATAGTAGGTGATGAAATATCTATTTGAAAATATACTTTTGTTGCTTTATTTTTCTATTTCATAAATCAAATATTTGCTGGGTTAAGCGTGAGCTACATATAAACTTGCATCAAAATATGATTAATTAAACATGACTTTGAAGCACACCAATTATGAAAGATTAAAAACTTTCTGTATTATTTCAGGACACTGACCTATTACATGCTATAACACAGACAAAGTTAAAAGTCGGAGTTAAACACATTGTCATACCTGCTCCAATAACTCTTTCAATGGTGATACATGAAGCTTCTATTTCCTTGGCAAATTCATGAACAGCTTGATTGGGATCCTCATAGGTATGTGGATCAATGTAAGTTCTTACTCCTGGCAGTTTAACTGTAGAAATAAATGGGCATTAAAATAAAAGCAGTCACGATGAATGGGCAAAATTACACACTTTATTAACATACTAGTATGGTTTAAAACTCTCATTCCTAGAAGTACCTGAGCTGCAAGGTAGGCCCTCTCCTGAGTGATGAGAGTCATCTGTACAGCAATATCACATTTATCACTTTAAAAATATGGATTGTTGGCATGCACAAGAAATGTATCTGTGATAACATATCTGAGTAAATATATCTTTCGATGATAATATTCAGAGAATAGTTCTCTGAGGCAAATTAAGACAATTTTGTTTACTAAACTGGGTAATGAAATGATCATGGTTAATTTGCTGTTTGTTATCCTATGTTTCACTTAGGAATATCATCACAAAGTACTAATTTTGATTTTACAGAAAATAATTTAAAAGAACTTTTCTGGTCGTATAGTGCAATAAGGCTGACATAGAAGTCAAAATAAAAAAAAAGAATTTCCACTTCTTTCTCTATTTCTCTCACTGCATGACTATACAAGACTCTTAAGTTCTATGAATCTCAGTTTTATCACCTTTAAAGTCTACCAATACCACACTCATAATGTTTTTTTGAGGGTAATGATATTAAATAAGATAGGACTATAAAATGGACTTAAGGATTTGCAGCATAAGTTATGGCTTTAATGATTTTGGCTTTTATGGTCATGGCAGAGTAACAAAAACAAAAGGAACTCTTTCTGGCAAATCAATTCACACTGTACTATTATGGAAAAATGAAAAAAATAAAATACCATGATTAGAATTCATTTAGGCTAATTTTTAAGCTCATTGTTAAAACTTGATTTTCTGTATTTCTTAAACATGTAGTTTTTTTCAAGTCATTTGAACTGAGTTTATTGCTACAGGATCTGTTCAGGGAAATTCCTGCTATAATGCTAGAAGGAGGAAAAAATGGAAAAATTTTAATCATTTAACCTGGTGGTGTTACTTAATAGAAGATTTCTACTCATTATATTGCTCAGAATTAGAATTAGCCCCAAATTTGATTTAAAATATAATAGCTTTTTATATTAAGCAAAACCTTTTTATTTTAATGACTATAATGAAAGGATTCTTTAAAGAATTGAATAAACCATCCAGCTGTTGCCTAGAGCCAGAAAGCAATGCTCAAGCCCACATGCTATATGAGAATGTTAACAGAACACTTAAACTTTTCTTAACACAATTTTTGTGCTCAGTTATAAATCCCCTACCCTAAAAAGATATCAAAATGACAATAAGGTCTCCCTTATTTTGTTTTGTTTTTATTTTTTACAATTTGCTTACTGTGCCCATTATGAAAATGCATCTTTTCCTCTTCTGGATCTTGTTTTGCTTTGCTGTAGCCACACCTCCTGGAACAAAGTGAGCTACAATTAGCCACATCTAAAAGTGGTGAATCAATCACGTCAAGCTCAGAAGCATGAAATGTAATTAACATTATTGCAACCCTAAACTGATTTTCATACTAGTAACATGAAATAACACCAATCCTCCTTTTGGATGAAACCTATTTTCTCAGCCAGTATTCCTTACTCTTAGCAAATTATCTTGCTTAGATTTCACTGTGAAGTCTGAAGCCATCCAAACTTACTTTTTAACTTCACTTCATCAGACATTTTTCTGTTCCCTTCCTCTTTTACTATTTTTGCAAGCTTACAGGCCACAGCCTCTTTCAGGATGAATTGCCCAAAAGGTGCTTTTGATCCAACAGTTTCCCACCTTTAACGCCTTACATTATTACTTTTTACTTTTTGTTTTTTGTTTTCTCACCATGAAATTTACCACAACCTGCAACATATCTCAGCTTCACTCCCCAAACCTTAGTCTCTTCTGTTTTTCTCATCCTTGCAAACTACTCTTATTAATGACAAAAATCTGTCCTTCTAAGATTCACAAATGACATCTTAATCTCTAAATCCAATGACTTTATCTTGGTTTTTAATCATTGTTGATGGACTGCAATCCCTAATGACTGTTCTGATGCTTTTTGTTCCTCTCTACATTTATGTATGACATTTCCATAGATTCTCTGCATGAACTTTTATGGTTCTCTCCTCTTAATCCATCCATTTCCATCAGTTGAATTAACATATCTATCTCTCTGGTATGATATATTTTGAGAGTATATTCTTATCCTGATAGATTTATTTCATAGGGATATTCCACTGGCATTCAAACTCAAAAGACCTGAAAAAGAAATCAATGTACTTTTCTTCTTTCAACCATGATCTGCTGCCTTCTTTTCCTGTTAATAACATTGCCACGGTCTTGGTCCCTTAAGATCAAAGCTTTATTCTTGTGTCCTTTAAGACAAATGAGTTGCCAAATCCCAAGTATTATATTAAGGTAAATATCTTATGATCCTTCTCTTCCTGTTCATTAGCTCTACCACTTCCTCAATTAAGTCCTTGTTATTTTTCATATGAATTACTGTAAGTGCTTCCAAAACATTGCTCCTCCATTACATAACTCTTTTCCTAAACTATACTAGACATTACTATATATATGATACTTTTCTATTGTGTTAGACGTCTACTACAAAATCTTTAGTAAAATAATAAAGTAAAGATTCCTAAGCATAGCCCTAACACATATTTCCTCCATTATCTCCAACTGTTCATTTTGAACATTTTTCTAAAATCTTTAAGATATTTCTCCATGCTTCCATACATTTGCACATATTGGTTCCTTCCTAACAATTTCCAATGATCAAAGTTCAGTTCAATTTTTGTCTTTTATCACATTTTTTACACTGATATTCCAACTTAATGCAATCTATCACCCTCTATGCAATGGTTTTCTATACCCCTCTCCTGACTGATGTCTACTCTGCAGTGCAGCATGGTCATTTGAGCATGGTTTCTGGCTTCCTTATCACTGGTCAGCTTCTAGAATGGCAGCAAGCAGTATTCATCTATAAAACCTTGCAGTGACCTTGTACCTGACTCAGAGTTGGCAATAAAAATATTTGTCACATTGATGAACGAATAAATGAATGAGTGAATGATATTTTGATTGTGTCTACACAATGACAGGTGTTTGGAGAGGAAATATGTTGGTGAATACTGAGTTGATGTGGTACATGATTAACCAAATAACATTAAACAACTGGCTAAATTGAAATATTTACATGATTTTTACTGAAACTCTAAGGAAGTGATTTTGCTATTCATAAGCTCCTGCCACAAAATTCAGTGTATTAAAAACAAAATTTCCATTTATTTCTGCATTAAGAGAATACAGCCAAAATGGTAGCCTGACAAAATCTTTTCATAACAAAGTTGGTTGAAAAATACCTCATGATATAAATGAAGTGTTCAACAGATATGTACTAACAGATATTATTCCTTGGTTAAATATCCCAGGATATTTTACAAACATTTATGTATTTGGATATAAAAATAAAACTTATTTTATTCTGTGTCATTGCCTAGTGTGTAATTACATATTTATTACAAAAAATAGTCAACACAACCCATCCTTATGGCAGTTTTGAAAAAACACAATTACCTTTGTTAAGTTAAGGAATTGGTAATTTATTAGTAAAGTTCAGCTAGCTAATTTTTGAGTAGACCTGAACTAATAACTTAATAACAGTGTTCTTGGGTGAGAAAAAATACACAATGGGGATCTGGTCGCTTTTCAAACTTTATTCATAACAGTGCATTTGCTATTCAAGACCCCTTAAGACATCTTGAATCACCTCACCATAGTGAAATGGAGAGAAAAAAGAAATACATGAAATCATATTGAAACTGTATTTGGTCTATGATAACCAAGATTTAAGTTATTTTAATACATTGTTTATAATTTTGCTAGATATTACATTATTCTTTTCAGTCTTTAGTGCATGTGCCTCTGGAGAGAACAGCTATTGATATTTCTTTTTAACAATGTTCTAAATACAATTGTGTAAAATTATCCTGAGATTTACATTAATTAAATAATACTGACAAAATAAACTTTGTTAAGGGAATTCTGAGGAGACTTAAAAGGTATACACATTCTCACAGTTAACATTAGAAAACAAACATTCCATCTTCAACTATTCCACCTTCAAAAATAAATAAATAATAACCTTTTAAAATTGTATCCTCAAGTAGCCTTTATCATTAAGTAAGCCTCATGGATATTTAAATTGCATGCAAATTCATCATATGGAAATGGAAATAAAACTTTGTCTCTCATCTAAAAAATGATTTGGGAATATCCTTGGTGAGGAGCGGTTAACATATTTATTACCTGGGGTGAGAGTCAGGAGGGTAATAGAAAGGAGATATTTTTGACTATTGGCATCTCTGGAGGTCTATAACATATACGGCCACATGTCACATTAACATATAAAATTAAGTTCAGGACCCCCCCAAAGCATCATTAAAATAAGCCTCAACAAGACACAGCAAGTAAAAGGCAGCTGGCAGAGACTGGCACTCAAGCAGTGGTTCAGCCTCCGTAACAAAGCATTGCAGGAAGCCTATTCACTCAGTATCATCTCTGTACCTGCTCCAGATGCATAATTTTAACCCATCAGACAAACAGTCAATAAATATGTCACTCTGTACATAAACTATGCCTCCTACCTTCTGGAAACTTTTTTTTTTCATGAATGGAAAAGATTTTGCTTCATACTACGATTTCAATGACTTTGAAATTATTATACTAAAAACATCTGTAGTGTTTTTTTTTATTGCAACATAGTTGATTATACATATTTGTGGGGTACAGAGTTGAATACCAATATCTGTGTGCACTCTGTGATGTTTGTATTTAGAGGAATCATCTTCTAATTATCTACATTCATGTACTTCTATAAAACAATGTGGTTTTATTTTTTAGTAATAGAGATGGCCAGGAAGATTATATTAGATGTAGACATAACTCATACTCATTAATTAACATTTATTACAAAGTCCTAGAGAGATGCTGGATACATAAATATAGCAATGACCTTGTGGGGAATTTAGGAATTAATCCACTTACTCCCATGCCTATCCTACGTAGGTGGATAACATATCCCTGATAATATTAATGCTCATCTTAAAAACATGGCCTCAGTCATAACATCTAAATTTGGATATTTCAAATTTCCATAATACATGAAATAGTAAGCAGTAATCTTTATGTATGAATGAAAGTGCCAGTGAATAATTTATTTCTTGGATATAAATTTTGGATTTGATAATAATTTGGGATATGTATGTCAAGCTCTCCAGAATACCAAGCAATGCATAAAAGCAGTAATTTACTAATTGATACTGCTGTGGACAATAAAGAAAGATGAGTGAATAAAATAGTAAAGAGAGAGTATAAATCCCCACTCAACAATAGCTTCCTCACAATCAAATTTTGCCATTGCTTTAGACTACAGAAATAAATACCGAGTACTCTTTTCACCTTAATCTAAACAAGGTAGGGTGGGATCCAGCGGTGGATGGAGTGGGTTTGCATTTTGATTTCTTCAAAAGAGTAAGCATATGCAGTGTCCAGCTCAGAAATGGACACACCTGCATTGTTCCTCTGTTTTCCAGATGGATTAAGAAATGCTTTTCTTATGCTTTAACGAAAAAACACTCAAAAAGCAACAAATTACAGCAAACAATAGCTTTTACATGTTTTGCTTATAAAAAATAAAAACTCATATTTAGCTACTTTTAAAACCACATCTCTTCATATATGCATACTCCCTTGTTTTGACACAACAGTGATCTCAACCATTGCATAATGTATTTATAGAATTTTATTTCTGGAATCTTGAAAAGAATAAGTTACAGCTTTTTGGGAAATACTATGACTTTTTCACTTCAGGATTCTCTCCAACTAAACAAAGGTAGTTTTAATAAAAGCTCAGCCAACTCAACCTCATAAAATAAAGAAGCATATAAGCATCAGGTTATTGATATATCTAATAAATACTGGAAATAGATAAAATTTTGTTTTATGAGATAGCATTCTTCAATAAAAATGTGAGTAAATATGCAGTAAAATGGGCATGGGATTTTTAGGCTGTCTTGCTAGCAGGACCTTATGGCTCTCATCCATATATTATCTTATCCTGGTAATACCAGGACACTGGGATTTTGAGTTCTCCATAGGTAGATTTAAATTAGACCAAAAAAATGCAACTAATTTATTATTAATTACTGAAAATTCTCATATAAACTTCTCTAGAGAAATATACTCAAAAGGCACACTCTTCTTGGATATGGCAATGATGTGATGATGAAGCCACACACAATGAAGGCATAACCTTCTGTGTTACCATGTCACATTCAATCAAAGATACTAATCACTGTATGATTTATGGCATGTGAGAAGCTAAATTGCTTCTTATTTTATGATCCTTTGGCCAAAGAAATCTGTTTTGTTTTGTTTTTGTTTTTAATCTCGGCATTATGAAAGATTTGAATATTCTCATGATGAGATGAACTAGAATTCATCTCTGATTTTAAACATTTTAAAAATAAGCAAATGTGTTTCTTTAAAAAATGAGGTTGATTCTCTAAAGATCACAGAATATGTAAATAAACAAAATAAGAATTTAACATCTCCATTTTCAACATAGTGAAAGTTTTCCTTGCCACTTGAACCCCTCAGAATTGTAGTAAATGACATGAAAACACCAAAAAGCATGAAAACTAATGAATAAAGGAAATAATCTGACATATGTTTAAATTTAAGAAATGCAAAATATGGCTACTTGGGAATATGTGATATTTCAGATTGACTTACAATAAATATTATATTGTAAATATATATTGGTTTCTGTTATAAACACAAGTGAATATTCAGGAATAAATGGCAGCATTATTTTAGAAATTACATACATTAATATCCTATTTACATTAAAACAACCAATTCAACTGGTTGTTTGTAAAAATAGCTTTTTTCTTTTTTTTTTTTTTTGAGAACTCAAACAATGATTAGAGTTTCAAGCTGGTTGTGATTACATAAAGGCAAAGGCCACTGATTAAATATATCTGTGCTAAATATTGGTACAGTCTTGGGGATAGGGTGTTTAAAATATAGGTATCAAAATTTCATTCAGAAATATTACAGAAATAGCTTTGAACACTGGGTAGATTTCAATCAAAGTAGGGAAAATATTTGGAAGAGTGACATTGTGTTCATGCATGTCACAACAAAGCAGGCAACTATAGTGATGAAAAATAATTTGAGATTAAAGGATCAAAGATGTAATTATAAATTTCATCTTATAAATGGCACGTTATGCATTTGAAAAATAACGGATTGTGGTTTCATGGAGGGGAATATGACAGTGTAAAAATCAGAAGCTCAGAGCCTTGCTGAAGCTTTAATGTAGCTTAATTGCAGAACCAAGGATCTAGATCAATGGTTTTAAAATCATGCTCTTCGAACCCTAGATTTCTAGAAGGTATCTCAAGGTATTTCTAAAAGCCAGTGTACTTACAATGGGTAATTTTAATGTTTATGCATCATATTATACTGAGGCCAAAACCAACCACACATATATCATAAATGATCTTTCAAGAAACGAAAAACGATGAGATTCCAAGATCTAAAATGTCTCCAAATCTCTGCTCCATAATTGCAAACATATCCATTCACAAATGATGATGACAGGGTGTCCCTTGAAAATTATTTCCATGGTAATTGACAAATGCTGATACGATTATACATACACAATTAGGTGACAATATTTCAGACTTCTTAGTATTTTATTGACTCTACCAGAAAAATAATTTTTATCAGTCCTTTATTTTCATTATCTAAGGTTGTTTTCTCCCCAATGCTTTAATCTAAACAAATGCCATCCTTAACTGTTACAGTGACTTGAAATTGTAAAATGGAAGTTCTTAAAATGTAGCAATACAAAAATTTTTAGCTTTCATTCTTGCCCAGTAATAATTTTGGACTACTTTCTTATCATATAATTTATATAAGCTCAATTAAAGTTTGTTTCTTTAGCTTTATTTTGTTTTAATAAGAGTGCACTCAAAAATTTTTTTCTGGCTGTTCCATAACTATTTCCATGAGGACTTTAGCATTTTATCGAGTACCTAAGCACATTTGTGGCTTTTTTTTTTTTTTTTTTTTTTTTTTGCACAACACACACATATGCATACACACAGAGAAAAATATACATGAACATACACAAACACATTCATGCCTCCATAATTCCTAACAGTATTTGAAGAAGATATCAGAAAAAAAGGTTTTATCTTCTGTTTCCTGGTGTGCTTTGTGAAGGAAGAGTTCTGCCTTCCTGTTTTTCTTTTTGTCTTTATTTTACTAACCTCCTGAAGCCATCTACACTGCAGGAAAAGATACTATTTTAAAAAATTGATCATTTCAATTTAGCTAGTCTTTGCTAATACTTTATAAGTCATGGACTCATAAATGTTTACACTCCCATTGAAGTATCTTTGAGATTTAGCTCAAGGTAGGTATAGATATTAATAGCTTTTTCCCCCTAAGATTAAATTCTGCCTGTTCTGCTTCAGTGATAATTTCTCTTTTGCAACAACTACACTTGAGACTGAAGTAGAATAGGCAAATCCACAACCATTTTTGTTTTTAACAGCATGATAAGAAAAAAAATTCACTGTGTAAATCCACTTAATTTATACATTAGCCATTGCCAGATTTCAGTTTTTATTTGGTGTATCACTAAAGTCCAATGCTCATAAGAATTTCCTGTGTAAGTTAAATAACTTGGAACAATTCTGTACTTTCATATTAACTTCAAAACTTTTTCAAACTACAGAACTTTCAAGAGATTGAGAAAAAGATCACCAAATTTCATCAGCGGGTGTTTATTCTCTCTTGTTCTCAGATCATTGGTATCCATTCCATCATTTTGCACATTTGCATGTGTGTGAACACTCACTCATACACGTTTTTTTAATCAACAAAAATTAATTTATACTTAAAGAATAAAAATAACAACTTAAAATGTCTCTAGAAAACCCTATATATTATCTTTTCTTGGCAAATTTTGTCTAAAAATGACAGCTCAATACGATATGAAAGAATTTAGACTCTTTTATCTAGAAAGGAATTATTTGGAGTATTTCAGTAGTCCCTCTAAGTCTGTGAAGAGAGTTCTCTGGTCTTATATTCTAGCCTAAAGTAATAACTCAAAAGAATATTTAGGATTTGCATTTATAAATAAAGACTATCCCATTTGGATGCTGATTTCAAAAACGTGCATTTTTTTTTTTTTTTTACCTCACTGGTATCAAAGTATGAATATCATTCCTAATAACTAAAATAATTTACTAGGTAAACCACTTGAAAATGACATGTGGTTTTGTTTTGCATTCCACATGTGTCCGCAATGATTATGACAATAGAAGATCTCAGTTACATTATGGCCATTCCATGGTTATGGGAGACAGAAGAGGTGACTTAACCTTGACGGAAGTAGCATTCTACTTTCATGCGTGATATGGTTTTTACTTAATGGAACAACAAAAACAGCGACATGTTAAATGTAGAACAGATGCCACAATCTTACATCTCCCTAGTTTAAATCAGAACCACAGTGAAAGCCTCAAAAGAGAAGTATAAATGCTTGACATAGAGATGATGTGCTATATGCACAATATCTTATTTGAAATAATCCATTGTGAAATCACTTGCTAGGATGCACCTTTGGGAACCAGTTTCATTCTACTCTTCTCACTGTTAAGGTGTAAGCGGTGTACTGTTAAAATGTACACAAATGGAGAAAGAAAAGGAATGCTGACGGCAATACATAGAGGTGGACATCACATAGGAGTGAAAGCGGGAAGAAACACTAACCATATTAGGCTTGGATGGGCAACAGCGCACAGGGAAGAAGCCCTCCCACAGCCACATTCGCAGCAACTGAAAAGCAAACAAGAGAGCCCAAGATAAGGAAGAGATCCCACTCCCTCAAATATAGCATAAAGACACTATGAAGTTACTCACGTGTCTGCTTTGCTTTTCAAAACAGAAAATCCCTAAATGCATACAATTAAATTTCTTCCACAATGCCTTTTAAATTAAGAAGCATTTTATGGTTTTAAGCAATAGAGTTGTACTATACAGTTATTTCTATTTTATTTACAATGATTACTCAGTAGGAAATATGAGTCAATGTATTTGAATTAATTGTATGCAATTAATATAGACATACAAATAAAGATGTAAGCCCATTTAATTATTTCTTTCCTCAGAAATTCCCTCAAAATTTACATTTGTAAGATATTCAAAGTAGCCCTTTAAGAACATGTTCTGCATCTAGCCTACAAGTTCAGAGGGAGAATAAGATCTTGCTTATTTGATTCACTGATTTCTTATGCCGGAGGTATTATTACTTATCATAGTCTATTGAAAATGTTATGCTTACGTGACTTCTCTAGTCATTTATAGAAGGCTACCAGTTTAAATTTACATTTTCAGATTTAAAAAAATGCATTCTCCAAATACATATTTTCAGAGCTATTGCTATATTAAAAAAAGCAAACTATATATAATACATGCACTTTTCTGGATACTGCAACACTCAAGATTTAAAAAAAAAAAAAATTCCACATATTTATAGTAAAAAATCCAGAAAATACAATGTAAGTTGTTTTATAAAATGCACTTTATCATAGAAATCATGCAAACTGATGGCAGAATATAGCATAGAAGTTATTTAGTGCTTTTTTTTTTAGTGAATAGCATTCATAGTGATTTCAAGAGAACTGTAATGTGAGCTCTGTAATGATACCATGTATCAGCAGGTCTAGGCTTTGGCTTAAAATCTGTCTATTTTGAGCTTATTTCCTTGAAATGTATGTACTACACTTCATATAAAACAAGGAAGAAAAATAAAATATAAACATCCAGTAAATTTACAAATACTAGCAAAGAGAGACAAGTATTTCCAAATAAAATCCCAATGGATCTTTTTGAAAAGAAAAGAGACACTTTTCTGTGTATTTTCTTTGTAGCACTCGTGATTTAATTTTTAGTACTTTTTTTTTTTTTTCCTTTTTGTCTTTTTTCGTGTCTGGCAACGGATCGCAACCCTCAGTGTCGCGCCCGTACCGGACTAATTTTTAGTACTTTTTTTTTTTTTTCCTTTTTGTCTTTTTTCGTGTCTGGCAACGGATCGCAACCCTCAGTGTCGCGCCCGTACCGGACTAATTTTTAGTACTTCTAAGTGTCTGAGATGTTGGCTGTCTCTAAAATGGACTCCTAATAAACAAATATGGCTACTATGACATTTATTTCCAATTTGTCTATTTATTACAATATATTTTACCTTTTTTTTTTTTTTGTCTTTTTCCGTGTCCGGCAACGGATCGCAACCCTCAGTGTCGCCCCCGCACTGGACCGGGACCGGCAACGGGATCGCAACCCTCGGTGTTGCTTCCGCACCTCGCTCAGCCAGTGAGCGGGAACCGGTCTGTATGTGGGATCTGAACCCTCGGGCGGGAGTGCCGCCGCACTTCCCAAGCAGCGCACTATCCAGTGCGCCACCAGGCCGGCCCCTTACAATATATTTTAAAGAATATGCCAAATAATTATTTTCACTGTAGAGGTACTGGAAGTCAGACCTACAGTAAATCAGAATATTAAAATTCTATTAATAGTAGGTAAAACATCTGTAAAATATTTTCACAGATCTTGATAATTTCTTTATAATTACATTTATTTCACTAATGTCTTAAACAATTACTAAAATATTTTGTAGGTTAATTTTCTACTGCTTCTGCCTTGTCTCAGCACTCAGATTTGTGGTCGGCGAACTATAGCCCATGGGCCAAATCTAATCCACCACTTGTTTTTGTAAATAAAGTTTTATTGGAACACATCTACCTCATTACTTGTTGTTTATGGTGGTTTTAGTGTTGCTATGGCAGAGACGAGTAGTTGTGATAGAAAATGTATGGCCTGCAAATCCTAAACCATTTACTATCTGACCCTTTAAAGAAAGTTTTTCCTCTTCCATTCTTAGACTGTCAGTTTCTTGAGATGAGGATGATTCTTTGGTCTTTCTTTTTTTTCTTCACAGTTTAATCATAGTGAATTAATTGTAAGTAGTCAATATTTTACTATAATTGGTATTAACTGGATTTACTGAGATATATGAATATAGAACATTTGAATATACTGCATGTGTTAATTTCAAACAGCACCGTTCCTACTCAATAAATCATTTTAAATTATTCACAGGTGTATCCAATTTTTTTTTTAGTGGGAAAAAAAAATAATGCCATCTCCTAATGAAGTACAAATGTCCTTCTAGTTGAAAGAGTGTGCACAGTATATAAACTTATACAGAATCATTCTTAAGAAAGAAATAACTCCACTGTGATTAGATATTACCTAATAGGATTTGGGATTATTTAATATTTAGTCAGTGTTCTAACACTCAAGGAGCACACTAATTATTGTAAATATAATGAGAACATCTTATAAAGTTCTCTTAATTAAAAAAATATATAATAAGCTTTGTGACTTATGATTTAGTATATATATATATACACATACACACACATACACTAAAATGCAATTCACTGTAACACCATGTCCACAAATTTCAGTCCTGAAGAATCTAAATCACTACCTATCATTAGGATTCTACTTCATTGTTTCAAAATTTTTTAATCAAAAAACTTGAAACCATGTAAAATCAAATACTTATACTTCTATTTTTTATTATTGTTACAGATTTTGTACTGATACTTTCTTTGACTTTTGAGATGGCATAAATGAATTACCTTAGGGAACTTAGTTAACCTTTTTGTGTCTGCTTGACAGGTATAAAATAGTGATGATAATGCATCTTTTCTCATACGTTTTGTGAAAATAAAGTGAGAGAATATATATATCACTTTGATCAGTGTCTGGCACATCATACATTTTGGGAGCAAAAGATAGCTGTTATTCTTAGTAGTATCATAATCAATGTTCTAGAAAAGATTCTCATTATCTCAGAGGAATTAATATGTTTTCATGATCCATATATTACAGTACTAAATATTTCCATTTAGAATATAACTGAATTACTAATACATTTAGATCAATGAATATAAATACAGAATGGCCAATGTAATTAAAAAATTATTTCCACAAAATACATTTTCTAAGGATTTAGTGATTAGAGTATACTGTATATTAGTATGTTATTAAGAAAATTAAAATGGAAATTTCTTTTCTATGAATAATAACCTTCAAATAACCCTTTTAAAATAAACTCTGAGAATGCTGTCTTAGTAACACTTTGGCACCAGAAGGTATCAAAAATATATTCTTTCCTTAATCAATAAATACTCAGATAAGAACAGGTTGAAAGTGCTTCCAAGCCTCAGAGATAATTTAGAAATAGAAACCAAAATGTGCTAGAAATAGCAGCCAATCTAATTTCTGTGAGCTTTGCTTCAACACAGGGTACACCTGCACTCCCATCAGTTTTTAGCACCTGGAATTCTGTAAGTAACTGCATGCAGCTCTAACAAGATCATTATTACCTAAGTTTAAAATAGTTTAGACCTTTCAAGATTATAGTAAAAAACTCTTGGTCTTTATTTTAACAAGAAATTTTGATTTATCCTTTAGAAGATTAAAATATGATAACAGAAGCTTTCCAGACACAAAGAAGACTTAAAATTACTTTAGCCAGGCCTTACACAGAGTTGATCAATATATGTACGAATTGTGTCAATGTAAGTAAGATAACCTCCCTCCTATGGAAGCAAGGTGATTATTCCTCTAGGGAAGAAATTCTCAAAGACACTAGATCAGAGAAGCATGACTGCAGCTTTGGATAAATGGTGAGCTAAATTCTTAAACAAGAGATCATACAAGCAGATAAGGAAAACACTAAGATGTCAATAGATGCATGAGAGAAAGGCAGGAAGAGTACTTTCACAGAAGAAGTACTTTAATTAGATGGAAAATATTTTTGCTTTACTTTTAAAAAAAATAAAAAGGAAGAAAACTGAAAGGCTTCATTTACCCATTTTAAATTAAAATAACGTCAAATGATGGCACTCAGTGCTAGGGAAAACAGGATGGAGCTAGTGCCCTTATAAGATGTAAATGACACTGAAAAGTGCCACCAATCCTTCAGAAACCAATACTACAAAACCTATCAAAGAGCAATAAAAATGTCTCATACTTTGACACCATTGTGTTGCAAAATATTTAAGATAATGGCATTGGTAGTCAAACTATTACCAATCCTAGATATATTCATTGCTAAAGGTATAGCTTTGAGTAAACTAGTCTGGTGAAAATGAGCTAATAATAAAAACTATATCACATAGGGTTACTTTGAAGGAGAGTTTGATAATACATGCAAAGCTCTCTGTACTGTCCTGGGCTCAGAATCAGCACTTCAAAAGTTTTAAACTTATATTATTATAATAACATAGCCTTTGGGCAAAGAATGAGGTATGAATAATATATATGAGGCTGGACATAGATTTTGAAGAAACAAAATGATTAATAAATTTTTTTTCAGTAAATAAAAATATATTTGTGGAGTCTATGGAACAACAAATATAATATAATATTGACCTTTTAAAAATTAGGTAAAAATTAGTGCAATGAGAAGTAAAATGATGGCATAAAAGTATACTAAAACCTCTGTGGGTTACTGTGTTGGAATGTTACATTAACTAGCCTTATGAGAAAACTTTTAGTTTACTCTGATTTTATTTATTTTTTTGGTTATTTTACTTCATAATTTTAAGTAAATTAAATATATAATTTAAACAATTCCTGTTATGATGCTTCTTGCAATATAATGTTATTCATACCCTACAGTTTTAAGAGAAAAAGAATTTAGATGTGTAACTAATATTTGCAACATAAAAACCTGGGAAAATTGTTCGCTCATAATTAAC